AGATGATCTCCAGAGGTCCCTTCCAACCTAAACGATTCTGTGATTTCATAGCTTTCATCTGTGCAGAATATTTATTTGTGTCATTCACATTGTATTCCAAAACAGTTTCATTTGTTCTAATCAAGTAAGATGATGGGATAACATGGCTGTGGTATCAATGTAGAATTGTAGGATTTTGGTATTCCAGAGCTAAACATTTCATTTTACCACTACCAGATCCGTTTGGTTCACTGCTCAGACTGTAATGCACACAAATTTAATCTGCTGAGATAATGGGATTCCATTATGCAAGAGAAACTGCCTGTATGCAGACCACTGAGAGCCAACATGGAGGAAAAACAAACAAACAGCCAGCCACATAATAGGAGGAATAGTTGATGGAACCATCTGGTCTTGTATCAGGCTCGACTGTCTAGAATAAATGGGACAACTCGTATCATAGAATAACAAGTCTCCAGCACAAAATCATAAATTCTTTCAGATTGGAAGGGACTTTAGGAGGTCATTTAGGCAAACATCCTGCTCAAAGCAGGGTCAGAGAAATAATTATGCTTGTCAAATATACATTTGTCTCAAAAGATATACAAATATAAGTTTCCCTGTTAACTCTCATCCTTTTAAGTTCTTTAAAAGTTGACATGCTTAACATTAAAGACAGTAAGTAAAACTAACAAATACAGTAGGAAGGTCTTCCAAACAAAATTCTGTTCTGCTCAGCCTTGGTAGTATAGTATGACACCTGCTTCTTTGGGCTCATGAACTAATTTCTCAGTGGGAAGACAAGAAACAAAAGTATGTTATTTGAACAGCTGAAGAACAGTGAAAAGAGCTTATGATGGGAAGACTGTGACCCACAGGAACTTCGTGTGTTGCCAGCTGTTTTTTAAAACTTGTATAAATTTGAAGAGTAATTTGAAGCCCTTTATGACATGTAACAAAGAACGAGGAATTTCTACTCAATAAAGCAACAAAGTCTCTTCCTGATGTTTCAAATAGAAATTTAAAAACAGAAATATTTTCTTTTGTCTCTAGACAATCTATTCTTAGAAATAGCAAATGCTAATAAAATAATAAAGTTTTGTTATTCTTCTTCACATCTTTTGGCTGGGAACGAAGACCAGAACACATACTAAGCCAAAAAGAGGTAAATGGGTTTGCAGTCTACAATTCATGGGCAACAGTCTGTGTCTACCCTCACATTTTGAACTGTGGCTCACAAGAGGACAGTGGTGAAGAAAATGTGCATGTTTGGGCTGTATTCTAAAGAAACGCTACTGCTGGGGGAGGGGGAAGAAGAAAAGAATTTGAAAAATTATTTGCCATGGAATCAATTACAAATGTAAGAAAGAGTATTTCTGACTTGAAAACAAGAGGAAGAGAGAAAGAGTTCTCTGTTCACTGACAGAAAGAGGACAGAATTAATGACAACATCGCATAGAACTCCAAAGGTGAGTCTGCATAACTGTTGGTTTCAAAAAATATATGTCATATTTTAAATATAAAACAATATGGTGGTCATATTATAGTAAGTAAATGGTCATATTATAATAAGCAAGTAAAATATAGATTTATTCAAGTGTGGGAAAAAGAAGAGTGTGGGAAAAACTGAAGCAGGAGGGGTAATGAAACTTGTGCTGACCTTTGGTCAAAGTTCCCAAGAGTAAATATAAACTGAATTAAGGCTCACATTAGGACAACTTTTTAATGATTCCTTACATTTGATTTGTGAACTCTGCTGTGCTCAGTAACAACAGCAGAAAAGATGGAGGACATAATCCCTCTTTAATACTTCTGTAATTCTAAAACAAAACCCACTTAAAGTGTAAGCTATTTTTTCTACCAGTGCAATGGCCAAAGGATTTTTTATTGGTTTTTTTTTCCTCTCTTTTTCCTTTTTTGGTTGGGATTTTCATCAGATTATCAAAACAAACTAAACAGTTGAGACAAAAAAAAGCTGTGTTCCTTTTAGGGAATAAAAAAACAGGGCCTCCATAATGCTGCTCTTCACAAGGGATGCATGTAGTCTTTTAAAGCTTTCATATAATGTGTTACCACAGGGTTAAAATTACTTCTCCTAACTTTGTATTCAATGAAATAGAATATCTCAAGTATATATGCTGTTGCCTCAAAAACTATTTCTTCCTTGAAATATTGCATGTTTAAATATGTATTTTATTACTGTACTTCTAGGAAAACTCATGTGATAAATATTCTTAGAGACTAAAAATGTCAAGCTATACAATGAAAATCTAGAGATCACCCTGCAAAGCCACTCACTGGTGTACTAAGATCTTCCAGGAGCTCTTCTGCTGTTTTAAAAAGCTTGAATTGCTGCCAGGTATGTGCTAGATTCAAAATCAATTTATTGCTGCATTGTGACAGTTCCTAGAGAAAGGTCTGACTCTCATGATACCCACAGCCAGTCAACATAGACTATAAAATACAACAGAAACATAGAATGTGGCTAGTGTAAATCTCAGTGAAAGGATTTTTGTAAGAAATAAGGGCTTATAAACAAACACTTCAAAGAGAAATGCTTAAGAACTTCCCAGAAAGAGAAAGAATGAGGAGGTTTAGATTTTCCCACAAACAGAAACAGGATTCTGTATTATCTCTGGTGTATCATCACAATTCACTATTGATTGAAACAAGGTCTTTGTAACCATTTATCAGTTGAGACTTCTCTTGTCTTCTCCAAAGCTACCTGTGAAAGGCATCATCTGCTCAGTCACATCATCCTATTCCACTATAAAAAGTGGAGGCTTAGTCATTATCTTATCAGTACCTATGCTTTTTCTGAAGCTTTTCCAATAATGCAGTCCTACTCCTGGACCTGCATGGTTAGAAGTGAATGAGCAAGCCAGGGATGCATAGAATCTCCTAGCCTGCCAGAGTCTTTGGAGAGTATCCAGAAAAGATGGGCCTTGAGCTGTATTACCTACCACTTTTTCCAAAACCTCTTCACAGTGAGGATTCTGAAATACAGCATCGATATTTGTCAAACTATCACAAAACAGGAGGAGAGCAGACATTTATGAAGGATGCTAACATCCTACAAATATTAGTACAAAAAGGGTTAGTTTCATAGCTGTACGAAGCATGTTTTATCAACTTTTAGTCTGGTTTGATGATTCAGATGTACCCTATGAAGGTGTACCCTCTGAAAAATGAAGTTTTTCAGAGATCTCCTCCTGGCTCTTAGGTATTTCACCGCTTCGCAATATGACCACGCCCAAAAATCTATCCATCAACATGCTTTTTACATCATGAGTTTCATAAGCGTATATTTGCCAAAGTACTAAATAAAAATAGCATGAAAAAGAGTGTTTTGTTACTGTCTGCCCATTGTTTAGACCTGGGCATTTCAACAATTTCATAAGCCCGCAATGAGCCAGATTTCTTTTACCTCCACAAAACACCTCTTCTAGTTTGAACAGAACATTAGCTTTTATAAATTGCAAAGAACTCTAACCCCCTCTTGTGACAAAGGATCAGAAAACAGTTTCAAAGGAAGCTGCGCAGCATCACATTCAAATAAGATTCCTTTACAAAGATGAGACTAGACTGAAATAACTTAGATTGAATTATTTGCTCATTTCTTCCCAATATTACAGCAAATGTCATACAAAAAGAAACACTGTATTTCAGTTACAATATTCTGCTTCTGCTAGCTCTCTGGGTGATTACCTGTAAGAGTTATTCCTTTAGTCATGATTCTCTCTAGATTAATTTACTTAGGAAGGAATCTATCAGATAAAATTGCACCAGGTAAGAATAAGAGAAGTGTTTAATGCTCAGTCTGAATTCCTTCAGCCTCCATCACATACGGAATATTCAAATGCCTGCTACACCTCAGGCATAAGATATAAAAGAAGCTCTACTAGCTTTATGCCATCTAGTAATTTTTCCGTGCCGTGGAAACCCTCAGGTACAATCCACGTGACTCAAGCATACGTAAAGCAATTTTAATATCACTTGTTGCTGCTCCAGTGGTGCATAACAACACAGATAGTGTTCAGGACCATCATAATATCAACAACCTCTGTTTAATCAGAGCACCTTTAGCAAAATTTCTTCCAAAAGGACAAACGACTGAAGATAAGGAACATATGTGCAAAATGCCTCTTAAAATCTGATGTGACCTGCCATACCTGTAAATCTGCATCTATCTAGCTAGAAAGTCTGTGAGTAGCTTCATATATGTATTTTGGAAATTATATTTCAACAGTGAACAAAATGAAAGCTTATACCATACTGATTTCCTAATTCTACGAACAGATAAAATCAGTGCCTATGTAATACTGAGTTTCCATACCTGTGTAACAGAAAAGCACTAACCCAATTTTCATTCCTGTTAATTGGAATTCTTCAGAGACCTAAAAAGGGTATGAGAAAGCTGATGGTTGTCCGAACTAAGACAGGATCCCAAGTAGAGGGTAAATTAGCATTACAGAAGAAATTCCAACATTTATCCTTGCCAAAAGGAAACAAATTGTTTCTTCTTTCCTATAACATAATTCCTAATCTAAGATTTTACCCACAGGCAGATAAAATACAATGTATAGGGGTTGCATAGCCAAAATCAACGTACAATGTAGATTCATCCCGCACATCATTCCTTCCTCCCCTCTTGATATTTGGTTTTGAAATCCAGCACAGTATGACACAATTACCAGCCCAAATAACTTACAGCTTTCTTCCCACCCCTTTACTTTTAGCTCTGAGTTAAGGGGAGCTGTTGTCTGGTACCATCTCTTCTCAGCTCATTAGCATTCTGAGTTTCTCTCCTGGCATGGTGTCCCTTCTTCAGTTGACAGCCCTAGCAGCAAACTCACCCTTTTCTCAGCAAGTGTCACAATTTTAGAAGAAATCTTGAGAGCAGTTTGTTTTTGCTATGCAGACTGGAGTAGTATTTTGGTTCCAGAACATAATCAGAGTTCAGAGCTCTGACTGCCTGGCAAATCTATACAGACAGACTGGTCCAAGCTAGCAAGATTCCCACTGAGCACATTTTGGAGAGAGCCCATAGCTTCTGATATGGACAGCAAAAATTAAAAAGTGCCTTCCCAAACCAGCTTCCAAAGCTTTTGAGGTTGTAAATGCTCTAAACTACCCACTCACATGCTGAGGGTATCCAAAGTCATCTGCATAGCTTTTCATATAGATAGGGTCATCTTACACCATATAAATACGGTCAAACAAAAATAAAACTCCTAAGGCGTTTCCATTCCCCGAAAAGTAACCATCTAGTACAGATGTTTGTGTGGAATAAGCAGAGATGAATTTATAACATCCATCACCATCATTTGTACCAATATAAAATATTTATTCATTTATTTTATATGGAAGTACTTGATGATATCTTATAAAATTGATATGTTGATAAATTTTAATTAAGGATTGAGAAAGGAAGCATCCAGTTCTGTAGAAGACTAAAAGGCATCTCTAATGGGAAAAATTTTTATTCATTTTGATCTCTTAGATATGATTCAGTGTTTTTTCTCTGGGTATTATCATTTAGAAAAATCCAATTGTGCCGTTTTGTTTTGTTTTGTTTTTCTAAAAAAGCTCCCATTAATACATATTCTATCACACTATATAAACAGCCATGCCATCTGGAAAGTTCATCTGAAAGGAGCTCACCTCTGCTACAGCCCACTTCTAGACGTATAGAAGATGATAGCATCTTATCAAAGTGTAACTTTATAAGAATCTCAATATTAGAGCTTCTTAGCTATCTTTAAATCAATAAATCTACATCAAGACTTGCAAGGTGGTCTTAATTACACTGTAGGCCTACAATTTAGGCTCTAGCAAAGGGAACCTATTTGATGAGAGTTCCGATTATTCTTAAGAGACTAACAGCAACAATGTAAAAAGGGCTACGTGGACCTGCCAAGTGTATGCTCTTAAAGTACGATTAATACAAATAAGATTATGAGTCAGGGAAGAATTTCTTCAAATCACTGGGTCTTCATGAAATATAGCCTCTTTTGAAATGTAGCAGCACATCTTGTTTCTGTAATTATCAATGTAATATTTTTTATTAACTGCTGGAATTTCCAAGCATGTTATTAACATGCTGACTCAGAAGTGATGACAGTCCTACCGCAGGTGTGTGAACTACTGGACTGGCTCTTCTCCCCACCCACCTGCATAGCACAGAGAGTTAATCTAATCATGATAACATGCACACAGAGACTACACAGAATAGAAGTTAAAAAAAATTAGTACTTTGAGGCTTTAGCACAGTAGTCAGAGGAGCAACATGAGGCTCCTGTGAGTTGTTTATAAGCAGATTGTGAAAATCCTTATGTTGACTAACAGGATTAAGAATGCCCTTTGGAACTAATCTATCTTTTAGCTTACTGAAACACCCGCTGTGCAATAACAGAGAAAGTCAGCATAAGAAAATGACTTCCATTACATGGTTATTTCAATAAAAAAAGATTTCAATTACTTTGATCTAATCCTAATTTCTAATCTGATTCCCTTCAAGATACATAAAATGCAACTCTCGTACATTTCTAAGTGAAGTCATAAATAATCAAAAAGATTCATCTAAGAATGCCAACAGCACGTTTAAGAGAAAAAACATTAGCTCTAGAACAAAAATAATGATCTCAAATTTAAAAAACATACACTTTACAGCATAATATTGTGCATAAACTATGGGAAGAAAAAAAAATACTAGTAGAAAAGAAAAGATATTCCAAACACTACCACACAGCATTTCTCAAATTACTACTGAAAATCCCAGAGGCCGATACTGGGGTCCATACCGAACATCTTCATTAGTGACCTGGGAAAATGGGACTGAACGCGACCCAATCAAGTTTGCAGATGATGCAGAACTGGGGAGAGTGGCTGATATACCAGAGTTCTGTGCTGCCATTCAGAGCAACTTCAACAGGCTGGAGAAACGGACAGAGAGGAACCTCATAAAGTTCAATAAAGTGCAGGGTCCTGCACCTAGGGAGGAATAACCCCATGTGCAAATTACAAGCTGGGGGACAACCACCTAGAAAGCAGCTTTACAGAAAAGGCCCCGGGGGTCCTGGTGGAAAAGTTGACTATGAGCCAGTAATGTGCCCTTGCAGCAAAGATGGCCAGAGCCATCGGATGTGTTTGGAAACCTTTTTTCTCAGAGCATCTCCAGTATCTCCACTTTGGAAGTATATACAGTTCAGAGTTTCACTGAGGTAATGGTCATTTGTATTAAGCGATATAAAGCCTCGAGCAGTATCGTTAAGAATCAGTCTTCTAGAATACCAGAACCAGAAAAGTACTGTGTCATTTCTATGAACTACTGATAGACAAAGATCAAAAGGTTCAGAG